GGAAATAAATCAGCTGAACATCCCAACATTGACAAGTGGGTCAAGTTGAAGTGAGCCCAGCTCCCCTCAGCTCAGTTTGCAGGTCCCTTCAGCTGATGGAACAAACCTCCTTTCTGTTGTACCCTCTGCAGCAAAGCCACTGTCAAACTGTCAGCCAAGCTAATGGGCACAGAGACAGGAGGATCTGATAAGGCAATTCTCTTTTCCAAGAAATTAAACCAAACAAACAAAGGTTCTGTCCTATTTGACCTCTTACTTTCTCAGTAAACAACTTCCAAACCACAAGATTTAGCTGGCAAATGAAGTTGGTAAGCCGCTGGCCATCATATTTGAAAAATCATGGCAGTCAGGTGAAGTTCCCGACGATTGGAAAAAGGGAAATATAACCCCCATTTTCAAGAAGGGGGAAATGGATGACCCAGGGAACTACAGACCAGTCAGTCTCACCTCTGTGCCTGGCAAAACCTTGGAGCAGATTCTCCTGGAAGGCATGCTAAGGCACATGAAAAACAACAAGGTGCTTGGTGACAGCCAGCATGGCTTCACCAAGGGGAAATCCTGCCTGACCAATTTGGTGGCCTCCTATGATGGGGCTACAAAACTGATGGTCAGGGGTCGAGGAGTTGATGCCATCTACCTGGATTTGTGTAAAGCATTCGACACTGTCCCACACGACATCCTTGTCTCTAAATTGGAGAGACATCAATTTGATGAATGGACCACTCGGTGGATAAAGAACTGGCTGGATGGCTACACACAAAGAGTTGTGGTCAATGGCTCAATGTCCGGCTGGAGACCAGTAACGAGTGGTGTCCGTCAGGGATCGGTGGTGGGACCAGTCTTGTTTAACATCTTCGTCGCTGACATGGACAGTGGGATTGAGTGCGCCCTCAGCAAGTTTGCCGATGACACCAAGCTGTGTGGTTCAGTTGATATGCTGGAGGGAAGGAATGCCATCCAGAGGGACCTTGACACACTTGTGAGGTGGGCTGATGCCAACCTCATGAAGTCTAACCATGACAAGTGCAAGGTCCTACACCTGGGTCGGAGCAATCCCAGGCACAGCTAAAGGCTGGGCAGAGAAGAGATTCAGAGCAGCCCTGTAGAGAAGGACTTGGGGGTGTTGATTGATGAGAAAATGAACATGAGCTGGCTTCAGTGTGCGCTCGCACCCCAGAAAGCCAACCGTATCCTCGGCTGCATCAAAAGGAGTGTGACCAGCAGGTCGAAGGAGGTGATCCTGCCTCTTTATACTGCTCTCGCGAGACCTCACTTGGAGTATTGTGTGCAGTTCTGATGTCCTCAACATAAAAAGGACATGGATCTGTTGGAACAAGTCCAGAGGAGGGCCACGAGGACGGTCAGGGGACTGGAGCACCTCCCATATGAAGATAGGCTGAGAAAGTTGGGGCTGTTCAGCCTGGAGAAGTCTGTATGGAGATCTCATAGCAGCCTTACAGTATCTGAAGAGGTGCTATAGGGATGCTGGGGATGAACTATTCATTAGGGACTGTAGTGATAGGACAAGGGGTAATGGGTTAAAACTTGAACAGGGGAAGTTGAGGTTGGATATAAGGAGGAAATTCTTTACTGTAAGGGTGGTGAGGCACTGGAATGGGTTGCCCAGGGAGGTTGGGAATGCTTCATCCCTGGCAGTGTTCAAGGCTAGGTTGGACGAGGCCTTGGGTAATATGGTTTAGAGCGAGGTGTCCCTGCCCATGGCAGGGGGGTTGGAACTAGATGATCTTAAGGTCCTTTCCAACCCCAACTATTCTATGATTCTAAGATACAGTAAACATCTTGGGATAGCTTTTTATGGTTTTCAATGCTTATTTGGGAAAGTATTAATACTCACTGAAATATGTAATACAGTTTCATAGTACAATTAAAATCGGACTGATTTTATTGATACAAATTAATGAAAAAGCTGCACTACAATCAGTAATTCAGGGTTTCCCAGACCCAGTTCATCTGTTTGAAACAAGCACTGTTAAATACGCTTCAGTTAAGAGAAGTTAAAACATAAACAGATGTGCCAGTAGATGAAAATACGAAGTACCTGGTAAAGTGTTATACCTCTTAAAGTGAGCCTCCTTCAAAAAATACCGATTTAGGGAAACCTAGGAGAAATAACTGTACACAGATAGCTCCACTCTACAACAAGACAAGCCTGCAGTGTACAAAGCATAATCACCAGGGCTGGAAGTTGTGTCCTAGGATATCTGAAGGGAAAAATTGAGAGGTATCAACAAAAAAAGCCAATCAACAAAAATGTGTCTTCAGAAGATCCATTAGAGCTCAGAAATCTTCCCAAAGCAAGCGAGTTAATAAATAAATAAATAAATAAACCAAAAGAAAACAAAGCATCTCAGGAAACTTCAATCATCCTAGAAGACAGACTAGATATGTTCAATAATGACTTTACCTTGAGTCACTTTTCATCTGTAATAGTTGTATGCTCAGCTTCAAATAATGAAAGTTTGCAGAACCAAGGCTGTGTCTGTCCCTCATCTTTCAGCTTTCAAATATAAACTATTCCTACTGTAGCTTTGTTTAAATGCATATAAATCATAGTTGCACCTTTTTGAAGGAGAAAATAAGACACGCCAATTCACCCTTACATGTGTAAGGGCAAAAAAGTGTTGTATTACCAAAGATACCCTTTTTGTTTTGCTACTACTGGAAGTCTCTCCACATCTACCTTAACAGTTGATTGTACCCATCACAGGTTCAAGTCTTTAAAAAATAATGTGATATTTCCAGCTACACTCCCTCAGAAGTAATATGAATAAGAAGGCAGCTGTGACTGCAAGCATCCTCATTAAGAAATTGGATTCAGAATTTAAAAAATAATATTGTATTGATAAGCCCTCTGCAGTTCAGTGTTACAGCTCCGCATCTGTAAGATACTAAGACTTCAAGTCTCTAATTTTTTTATCAACAGCATCAAGGCCATTCTTTCTTATTACTACTTTAATTGACTGTTTATAACAGCACAAGCTACAACCCTGTTCCCTTTTGAGCTCTTAAGTGGGATCACTGGGTGGAAAACAAAACCAAGCTATTTTAGTTACAGGTAAAAAGTAGCACCAAGAACCACAACTCATGCAAAGTTTTGAGTTAATTTTTCTAAAGGACTGCAATGAGAAACTCTAACTGTAGGTAAAAATAACACTGATACAGATAAGACATGCAAAACAGTATTACAGCTATTTCACAGTATGCTAGAGATTGGAAGGGACCTCAAAAGATCATCTAGTCCAATCCCCCTGCCGGAGCAGGAACACCTAGATAAGGTTACACAGGAACGTGTCCAGGCGGGTTTTGAATGTCTCCAGGGAAGGAGACTCCATAACTTCCCTGGGCAGCCTGTTCCAGTGTTCTGTCACCCTCACTGAGAAGAAGTTTCTTCTCAAGTTTAAGTGGAACCTCTTGTGTTCCAGTTTATGCCCATTGCCCCTTGTCCTATCATTGTTTGCCACTGAGAAGAGCCTGGCTCCATCCCCGTGACACTCCCCCTTTATATATTTATATACACTAATATGGTCATGATTTTTTTTTATTAAGAACATAGTAGTTAGTGAACTAAATGAGTTTGCTTTCCCTATCATTATTTTATTACTATTTTTTTTTTACATTCCTGTTTGCTCTCCAACCTCTTCATTTATCATGAAATCAGTCTCCGAAGGCAAGAAGCCTACACTTTAATAGATATGAGAAAAGTCACTTGGTTGTGCTCAGTCCTTCTAAAACCTCACAACATTTATGGTTTGCATTAGCTTTCTGTACATCCCACTAAGTTTTTGCTGGTCAAAAAAATAATCTTGCAAGGTAACACCTGTCTGTCAGAACTAAATTTTATCCACAGCAGTAACTCTTTGGAAATAGAACTTAATCTTTTAAATTATTTGATAGTCTATATACAAAGCAGATTTAGTTGTGAAAAAATAAGTCACATATCAGTATTTGTTCAGGATTATTTAGGATTTTGAACTATTTAAGAAAAATCAGGATTTTTACATTTTCAAGATATTCAAGATTCACCAAGTAATAGCTTATTATCATTTTTTCTTGTACTTAATAAGGACTCCACTCAAAAAAAAAAAATCTTCCCTTTCCCAGGACACACGTGTCTGTCAGACAGTAACTGAGTGGCTTGCAAGTTGGTCAAGAAAAAAAAATAAATAAAAAAAAATCAGTACATCTCTAAAGCAGTGCTCCTAAAGCCAACTGAAGTTCTAGCTTGGCTGAAGCTACGACTAGATACAGGTATTCTTACCCCATGGTACCCATAACACAGCATCAATGATCAGGACTGATAACCCTGCAACATATAGTAACTATGAAGAACAGCACAGTGGTAAATGTTAAACCTATACGGAATGGCCCAGCACTGTCACTCTTATCCAGCACAGTTCTTAACCAGACAGCACTATGGCAGCCCACAGTGTGCTGTTACCACAGAGACAGTTTTATGCTTTAAGTCTGAGCATGTATACATAAAGATACACACACACACACACACACACACATATATATATATAGAATGGCACAGACAACTAAGCTAATCTCACTTGTATGTGGAATTTTCCCTATGGCAAGCAGAATGTAAAGGCCATCTGATTTCTCAAGTCAGAGTGTACTCAATATTTATATAAATATTAGTCTGACTACAGGATAAAACCAAGTTTTTATGTTGCTACAGCTTTTAAGTCATCATAATATTATCTCCAGTTCAACATTTCCTCTCTTTTCTGGTTCTGTGGTCTAAGCAGTTTCATCAAATGCCTCCAATTAATATAGATGGCATTCAGTACTATCTTTTGCAAATATACCACAACAATCAGCTTGTGACCAACGCAATAAAGATTTCTGGCTCATCAGACACTTTTAGAAGAGATTATGAAGAAAACCAGTATTTTTAATATTAAAATTCAACCATAAATACAGATAGTGTCTTTTCTATTATACTGTATTTAGTAAGTGCAAAACATCTTTACCTGACAGAGCATCTTGTGCTTCAAAAAATGTGCTGAGACCTCCTTTCACGTAAGCTAGACTTCCTTCATTTTTCTTATTGGCTTGTTTCTTCAAATTCACAACAGCCATTTTGAGCTGATCAAAACTGAAAACAAACAAGAAGACCTCTGTTGATAAACGAATAAAGTCAGCTAATGAATAAACAGAACAAACTACTTGGAAAATAAAGTCAGCTACTTTTGCAACAACTATTAAGGACTGAATAATTGCTAACAAGTGTGATTTTCAATAATGACAGTTTACTCAATCCAAAGGGGTTTTGCGTTTTAATTTTTAATCGTAAATGGAGGGCTCCTATCACTTGTGCTGGAATAGATTTCTTTATGATATGTTTTGTTTTACTTCCTGTTTCCATCTACTGGACAGAAATCACATTACTCAAAAGCTGGATTGGTCTACTTGGGCACCCAAGTAGTACTTACCACAAGCATTTTCAAAATAACAAAAAAAAAATCTATGCAGCTCTCTTTCTAAGTACTGTTTCATGTTATTTGATGATCTAATAGTATATTTAAATGGTTTATTTATATTTGTCAGGACATTGCCCGGGGGGTGGGGGGTAGAGAAAAAAAAAAAACACACCTCCCATGTTATTTCGATTGCTTAAAAGAATTTCCTTCAAGGAAAAAATAGACATAAGCTACCCAAAACAACAATGCACCATACATCTAGCGTTCCCAGTACCTGAGGTTACACAGAGGACAAGAACTAAAACATTGCTGCATGTGTCCAGGACAACAGCACAAATGATATGGGGCAGATAATTATACAATTCCAGAATATTTCTAAGACTACACATTTTTGCAAATCAAAACAAAAAAATCAGGCTTACTTCTTTATTTAAAATGCTATTTATAATTATATTCAAAACATTACTGGATTCACCCCACTCTTTGAGCCATTCTTCCTGTTAAGTTTTACATAGCTTTTGCAACTTTAACGCTAAGATTTATATTTTATAAACCAATATAAACCAAATCAATACGCACGCACAAAAAAAACAAACAACCCAGCTTTCATTTAAAACCAAGAAATAATACTTTTAATTCCACTGGAATACATGGGCCAAGAGGATCATGACTTCCGACTGTTGACATGCACCAACATGCATCAGTGGGTTTACTGACACTATTACATTAGAGGTATAACCATTACATATGCTGTTGCTCATATTCCATGAACAACTGGTAATTCTGGTTAAATGACATTATTGTGGGGTTTTTTTCCAGTTCTTTCCTGGGTACCTTTCTCAGAGGGTCTCTTCCCATGCATCACAGATCACTAAGCACATGAGATATCCCACTTTATTCTGATGATATGCTTATCTAATCCCACATTGCTTGTTTCTCAGGCTGCACATGAGTGTGTAAAGGCACTTGTGGTTAGATCCTTCCAACTGGTTTTGCAATTCCCAACAGCACTGTCAGTGCCCCCACTGAACATGGAGAACTATGTCCCTTGCTTAACTGCAAACTGTTATGATCATTCCCTGCTATTCCTAATTTGATGTCCTTGTCAACAAAGGGCAAATCTTTGGTGACAACCGCAAAATGCAATGACACTCCCACCCCCCTTTTTCAAATGAATCCCATTTCTCACTAGCAGTCCGTGTTCTTTAGTGATGGATCCATGGCTACAGAAGTAAAACAAGCTGCCTTTGAAACAGTGGTACAGCCATCTGTGAGCCTACAGAACCTTAATCCTACAGGATGCATTCACTACCTGAAGCCTTCCCCTTCACCTGTAAATCAAAGGTGCTCTTCACTTTTGTCCCCAGGGCTTTGCTATCACTCTTGATCTGTTCTACATCTCTCTTGGCAGCATCACTGGTGCCCGCATGAATGAGCAACAAGATGGCAACAGTCCAAGGGCCTCAGGTAAAGGAAATTTCTTAAAGACAGCTACATCAAAAGCTGTTTTTTCTCACTTTACTATTCCATCAGCTTTTTTTAAAAACCTGATGACTCCCTAAATTATCAGATTGTCACAGTTCATTTTTAATCACTCCTCTTAGTTCCTGGATTTCAAAAGATACATATATATTGAGTAATAAGATTCTCTTGCTGCTGTTTTGGCTCTTCAATCTACCACCACTCTGAGAGGAAATGGAAGTATTTCCCAAGTAGATTAATGGTTATTTCTGGAGATCCTAAAACCAAACACCACAACCACTCCACAACAATCCAACCAAACAACACAACATCCAAAGCCAACAAAAAACCCCAGAAGCCACCAACCCACAGCTGTTTCTACCATAGATAACAAAAAAAATTAAGGTAAGTTTGCAAAGTGGCATTTCCCTTCAAAATGCTCATCAGAATACCCAGCTGAAGACAAGAAAGGCTCATCATCTCTACTAAAATCGGCTTCTAGTATTATTCAAATATATGCAAATAAATCAGTTATACATGCAAAAATATATTCACATAATACATTCACGTAAGTACATATTATGAACTAGATTAACAAATTAGAATGTTAATGGTCAATATTTTTTAAGAGATTTACAGTAAAGATACTACTTGTCAAATTTCTTTTACTATAGCATTTCCCACAAGTGTTAATTAAAAGCTAACTACTACTATTAACAGATTTGCCCTGAGTTGTCTGTTCAGTGCCCTTATCCTCAGCCTCTAGTCATCACTTAACATGACTAGAAATTTCACTTAAGCCCACGCTGCCTAACTTCTTGATTCATAAAAGGCTTTAGCCTGAAGACAACTTCCATATGTCATGGGCCTGGGGAGGAAAAAAAAGAGGCCAGAATTCAGGTCTGAGTAAAAGGTAAGTTTTCCTTGTAACCACATTGAGCAAACTGGTTGATTTCTAGCCAAGCAGAAACACCACAGGCAGTATAGAACAGGTTTATTACTTAAAGTGTCAACCACCAGGGACAGATCACATGTATAATAAAATAGTATCAAGTAACTTGCATTTAAAATAATAATTTATGACAGCAACAAACCTTGTTGTTGAATGATTCTCAATCAGGTACCAGGCAGCAGAAAAGTTTTCACTAGTAAAATCAGCACTCATCCCAGGAAACAGTGCCTCTAAATCTTTTTGAGGAAATCTGCCTCTGAAAATATGAATATGCATTTACTCAGTGAGACATTCCTGTGAACAGCTTACAATTAAAAGTGTCACAAAAAAACCCCAAAAAACAACACCCCCCCCCAAAAAAAAAACCTAACAAAAAAAAAACCCAAAAAACAAATCATGTTTGAACAAGATGTAAACAAATTTTTATCCCACCATGAAATTAAACCTGGTATTACAGGCACATGTAGCGTGACTGGGAAAGATTAAAATCTAATCTGAGTAAAATTGATTTTACCACTTTGATTTCACTATTACACATATGACAGAAATGTTCTCAGTACAAAATGCTTCTAAAGAAGGAGAACTACTGCCTTCAAAAAATGAGACTAGACAGACTCACCATGATACTACTACTACTGAAATACAGGACCACATTACAATGCTGAATGTACTCCAAATCAATTTTACCTTTCAAAAAGAAAAATCAGTACACAAAGTCAAATAAATAAGAGAGAATACTGTCTAAAAGCCATGAACCAGCGTTTATTTAAAACAACGGGACATCACCAGTTTGACAACTTATAAGTGATCTTACACCATCACTTTTATTGGTTCATGTGCACGAGAAGTTCCATGGAAACATGAAGGGAGATACTTGGAGCATTCTTTCATTATATGCAAACACTGAAAGAAATCCCGAGTTAAAATAATCCCCTTGCAAAACAATACCGTGATCTACATTCATAGTACACAAAACATAAAAGAAAAGCATGTCATGAGATACAGTATGTTTTGTCTGTTTTTACTCAGTCTTACAATGCATGAAGATAGCATGCAAGCCAATTTCTTGTGAAAGCAGATTCTCTACAACAGCTATTACTGAAACTACAAGTAACTTCTAGGATAGATTTACAGAAAATGTATTCCATATATTTTAGGTCAGTGTAACACAAATACTTAAAGTACTTTTTGATTGAAACATGACTATCTTCATCATTCAGTCCAGACACTCACTGAAGGCTTGGCCATATTCATTCCACCATACATCACCAGGGGCACTCACCACTCTTTATCACCAGCTGCATCCCATCTCCAGAAATAATCATGGCAAACAAGTTTACTGTTGGTCAGCCTGAATTGCTCAGGCAGTTGGACAAAATTATCATTGCAGATATCTTCCAAATGAAACATTTTAGCCTGTTCTAAAAATGTACTATGTCACTTTTGGATTACATCAAACCCAAAAGTCAGTAACATCCCTCTCTGATGCTTGTACATTGGGTGAACTCTGCTATAAAAACTGCACTGTATGCAAAAGCAAACCTGCCATACTTTGCATTTGAATTCAGACTTGGATGGGCGTAGCAATCCAGTGTCAGCTATTGGAATTACATTTAATAGATATGAAAAGACATCTGAATGGACATAAACCCAATGATTTGTTAGGGTTTTTTAAGTTGGGTTTTTTTTCCTGTAATCTAAACATATTTCAAACCAGTTAAAACTGTTTTTACTACAAAAAGCAAACAGCAGATTAAGTGAAGTAAATCTAGAGGCAGATGCATTAAAAAGTACAATTATAAAGAAACAAGAGTTGTTTTTTCTAAGTTGCTATTCATAGCCAAATGGCCATTAGCACAAGCAGGTACAAAGGACCTACATAACTAATGACATGGCACAGGAGTCCTTCATCAGTAGCACCTGATTAAAGCAGGCACATGAAACAATACTTTTTATAATAGGGGAAAAAAATAATCAAATGAGATGCAAAAAAAAAAAAAGTGATGAAAGATATGAAAAGGAGATATAGAAAAAACTGTGAGAAGCAGAAGTAGCAGCTAAAAAATGAGGGTCCCAACATTTCTGTGTTCAATGAAAAGGTGGTAAGGTTAAAGGAGGTGATCCTGCCCCGCTACTATGGTCTTGTGAGACCCCATCTGGAGTATTGTGCACAGTTCCGGTGTTCTCAACAAAAGGACATAGAGCTGTCAGAGCAAGTCCAGAGGAGGGCCACGAGGATGATCAGGGGACTGGAGCACCTCTCGTATGAAGACAGGCTGAGAAAGTTAGGGCAGTTCATCTTGGAGAAGAGAAGGCTGCATAGACAGCTCATTGCAGCCTTCCAGTATCTGAAGGGGGCCTATAGGGATGCTGGAGAGGGACTCTTCGTCAGGGACTGTAGCGATAAGACAAAGGGGAATAGGTTTAACTTAAAATAGGGGAAGTTCAGGTTAGATATAAGGAAGAAGTTCTTTACTGTGATGGTAGTGAGGCACTGGAACAGGTTGCCCAAAGAAGTGGTAAATGCTCCATCCCTGCCAGTGCTCAAGGCCAGGTTGGACAGAGCCTTGAGTGACAGGGTCTAGTGTGTGGTGTCCCTGCCTATGGCAGGGGGGTTGGAACTAGATGATCTTAAGATCCTTTCCAACCCAAACTATTCTATGATAATGTTAAAAGATTTATAAACATAAGTAGTGAGATTCATGATTACCAACAAACTTGAATTTCCTGAATGCCAGTTAGTGAGCAGAAAATGCTGACGGATGCAAAAGGGAAAAAGTTTTGATTTATCTTTCTTTTAAAGCTGTTATAAGAGATATTATTTTTCATTCAAAGTAGCAAAAAGTGTCAAACAGGGACATGAATTTATATGATAGTACTTCACATGTGATACATGGCACAGCTGTCCAAAAAAGATTTTATGTAAATCCACACATGGTAGTATCTCTGCGGGTAACTAAAAAACTTAGAAATGTTCAGTTACCCCAGAAGAGACTCAGATATTCAGTGCAAGTACTATATAAGGGCATGTATACATAGAGAAGCAGAGTTTTATTCATATTTTCAGAACTTCAATATATTTTCCTCAAAATCCAAAAGAAACAAATATTACACAACCCCCCCCACACTCAACAAATATACCAAATGCTACTTATTATTGCAAGATTGTAAGACATATGCATGGTAGTTTAAGCTTATGCATGATATATATAATTCCTAGGGAAAAAAACCTAAAAGTTTTTACTTATCTGTATGATAATATGATGTTGGCCAATAATTTAGTTATGGATATAACAAATTCCTGCAAATGAGTTCTACCCACAGACAGTGCAGCAGAAATGAAGGGTTGGCGTTTTGGGGGGTGTTTCACTTTGTCGTTTGTCTGCACTGAAAAGTTACCAGGACCTTTTTTCCAGCAGATATATTTGTGCAGAACCATACATTAACAATGCGTTTATGGCTACTTTTATCTGTGCAGACATATTTTAGACATAGTCACAACAGAGTAGAAACATGAACGTGAATGTGTGCGGTATGTTAACAATATATTATACTCTATGGTGTAGTACCCTTATTTTTCATAACTTTCACCAGTAGTTTTTCCACTAACAGATATGGGGAGCTTGGAATGACTTGTTACAGCTGTCTTCACAACAAGCTGCTCACTAAAAAGTTCAAACTGAAAAGCAACTGTACTTCTAAAACGTCTGGCCAGATGCATCTAAAAAGAGACTGACTCCACATACACACAAGTTTGTTTCATTAACTTCCATTAGCAAATTAAATAAATAAGTCCTTGGAAGTTTCTCATGCTTACCATTTAAACAAGCACATATGTGACTTGAGAAAGTATTTCTGTTTTAGTCATTTCAACATTATGGGGTGAATACGAACTAGAGCTAAAGCTGAGACCATGCTGACACGCAATGAAACTGTTGATAATTTTCCTGTTAATTTGCTCGTTTTACAAGAATCATTTCCAGAAGCAACTCTGAATACTTAATCATTGATTAAAAACCAATCACTGTAAAAGAAACCAGGACCCACAAATTGAATACAGAAAACCACAGAAGAGAGAAGTTTACCACCCTTGACAAGTCTACGTACATCACTACCTTTACAATTTCAGCAAAGGTACACATATTTGATTTATATGGTAGTACATTCTGCTAGGCAGACTATTTTATTTAAAACAGAACTAGATCTGGTACTAGATCCCTAGTTAACATTTTAAAGGAGTCCTATTAATTAATCAAAACCAATTTCAAGTATTGAAGTAATTAAGATTTATATTCATGTGAACTATAATAAAAATAACTTTGGTTTCAAGCCACTACACACTTTCACTTCCCTCAGAGACATTATGAGTGTATCTAAGCAGTCACACGATACTAGATGCAGTGGCCCTTGCTTGCACATTTTTACATGTGTGTGCACATCTACTTTGGATTCAAAACACATGGGTAAAAATCAATTCACTTGCACCACATGTGCCCATCAATACAAGTCCCACCCTCCACTACCCCAAGCTTTCGGTACTGTATAGCCTGATACTCACTAAATGAAACCTAACCTAACCTCACAGCATGTATGTTAGCTTTTATTATTTTCTTTTAAACACATTTTACTACAGAACTTGTGAATGTACAGATCATTTATATTCCCCAGAAATTTAAGATTAGTTGTAATCTCCATGAGTAAATTACAGTCTCCAAGCAGTCACAATTGAGTAACAGCAACAAAATGCAAAGGATGCTAATAAACAGAGCCTGACTAGAAATGCAGCTTAGTAAATTGTAATTTTTCTGTAAAGACTATAGTGCTCCCAGAGCTTAAGAATCTTATCGTATGCTTTTCAGCATACATGACAATATTTGCAGATTAAAGGCAGGTAGCAAAACAGGATACAGCCACCAAAAGGTAACCTGAACCTCAATTCCACAGGAGTTTTTAGGTCAAAAGGAGCAACTTTAAATAAACACAGATTCTGAATAGCAACCAGCATAAACAAGCTCCAGCGAGAGTTGCTATATACTCCCCCCTCTGTCTGGTACCAGTCAGACTCCTAGAAGCAGGCTTTGTACCAGCTGTACTGTGTTAATAATGCATGCAAGAAAACCAGCATAAGGGACGCTGGCGTAGACTAAACACGACAAATCAGAAAGTGCCAACAAAAGTCTTCCCAACAGCAAAAAGACAAGGATGCACTACTGCTTCCTAGGAGCTTTGGTTTTCACAGAAGTACGACAGCAAAAT